TAATTTAAAATTCTTGACAAGAAATTTGTAGAGCAGGGAGATTTCAATTTTTTTGAAAATGTACACTCCAGGTTTTGACATTTTTTGAACGTTGAGATCACGTTAAGTACCTTTCAAAAATTGGAACTCGTCGAACAAAACTGACTGAAAAAAACTCAACGCCTTTTCATTAATCAACTCGCTGACTGCAAATTTGTCGTCCAGCATATAAAAATAAATTCCCAGAGATGAGAAATGATTAAAACCGTGCTGATTTTAACGAATTTGGCGATTCGTCATCGAGTCCTACGTGATACAAAATGATTAAATCAGATTTTCTCATCACGTTCCCTTTTCACAAAATGGTAAATAACGATAAATGGTCATCATCCGCAGAACTGGGGTCGCTTTGTGGGTGGTACGAAACATGATGAATTTCTACGGTCCTTATTTTCGTGAAATACTTATCTTGTAAAAATCAAGTCAGAAAATTGGAGCCGATTAGAAAATCATCATATTCACGCAGGATTGATTTGTTGTTAAAATTAGCGCATCTGAAAAACAGAAATATTTTTATCATTCAAATATGTATTCAAATATGTATGGAAATATTTATGAATTTAACATATCTTTTAAAAACAAGCAGATCAGCAAATTGGAGACGATTAGAAAATCATCATCTTCACGCTGGATTCATTCGTTGCACTATTTGCAGTATTTATTTATGTTAATTGTGCTAACCATCGCGATTAAGTTGTACAACAATTGGCTTAATTCTAAGTGTCCTATCAGTAAAATTAATGTAAAACTACTATTTTTATCCTAATTTCGTCTCGCAATTTTCTTCTCTATATTTCCGTCTCAAAAACTTGACTTTGGTGACACGAAATTTTCGAATAACAAAGTCGAACAAAGGTGGCTATCGAGGGGGTGGTAGTAGATGGGATTTTAGTTAACTGATCAATTAATCAATTTAATAATCCGAGAGTAAAAAGTTCTTCGCAAAGTATAAGTAAGCAAGTTTCACGTCTGATTCGTCGGGTTGGACATTTTGCATATCGCACATTTGGACGAGAAAATGTGAGAATGAGTGACGTGCATGAATGGATTGGATTTGAGACGGAAATTTTGAGATGGGAATTTGAGACGGATTTTAAGATTTTGAGAATTTGAGACGAAAATGAAATAACAATACCATCCTGGTCCTTGTCCAAGCTTTTAATTAACGGCTCAATTAACTAATTAAAAAATCCGATAGTAAAACGTGAATTGGATGCGTTTGACACGGAAAATTTAACATCTTTTTATCTCCGTTAAAATACTTTATTTACATAAAATCGCGAAACCAATGTATTTGGAGGAATCAAAATTTTGTACACAAAATTTTCATTTTCGACTGACCACTGTCTTTTACACGCAGATTTTGATCTTTTTGTGGGTGTGGAAATGCCCTAAAAATGCAAACCCTGGGAAGAACGAAGCTGAAAATACGGTGTATTTTAACACATTAGATTCTCAATTGATGATGCGTATTATGCAAATTAGAGTCCCATGTCCGCCGAGGGTTCTATTTATTTAATCAGTACACATTTCTGCGAAAGAAGAGCAAGTGCTTTTCGTCTCTTCGTCGTAGAGTCGTTTTATACCATTTTTTGGAACTAATGCTGCTCTTGAAATAACTGAACGTCAATATTTTATTTCCAACAAGTTAAATTAAATTACTTGCAGCAACAGATGAAAAATCCGCTCTACGAAATGAGTAAATCATTTAGATATTATGCCTAATAAAGCTAAACTTTGTAGCGGATAAGTGCATTTTAAAAATAAATGTGGCATTTGAGTAGAAATTTCTTAATTTTATACGTATTTAATCTCGGGGAATTTGAGATTTTAATAAATTGCCGTATTTACCAATAACTCTGTGTGCACATGAAACTTAATTACGGCTAATGTAGAGTTTGGTGTAAAAGTAGGTGCAACCAGATAATTAACTTTATTCTAAATCTAGGATATAATTATGCACCAAAAATGTCGTCTTATACCATCTTTTGCAACAAGGGTCAAAATTGAAATGGTGCATCGCCAAAATTACCTTTGTAGCAGAACGTGTCTTACATATCCTTGTACTAAAATGCCGTTGGATTTTTCCCAATTTTGCTACTCACTTCAGGAAGAAAGTAAATCCCAATAACTTTTCATATGCTACCAATTCATTTGCCTTGGTAAATTTAGCGTCAAAATTTATTTAAATTTGTGAAAATTTCAAATGTTAAATCAAATGTCGTTGAAATCAAAATTTTCATGCGTCACAAATATTTCATGAAAACATTCAAATGTTCAATTTGAAATTTATTACCAGATTTTATATAAACGGTAATTCTTAAACGAGAATTTATACGTGCAGTTAATTTTATTTGAAATTCATCCTTAAATTATAGACAAAATGAAAAGCAATGTCAGTTTACAGGAAGGTTTTTGAAACCAATACCAAGATTGAGATATGCAACGTCAATACTAAATTTTTTGGAAAAAATAAATTTATTTCCATGAATATGTAGGTGTGTCGTACATATCTTTGTAATCGACAAATTTTCATGCATCGTGAAAATATTTCATGCAAACGTTTAATACTCAAATTCAAATTTATTACTAGGCTTCATAAATTGTAGATAAGTTAATTATCACCAGTTTTTAACTGATGGCATACAATTTGCATGCATTCTAAATTATAGGCATATTATTTATATTTGCGTGTTTACTATTAACTATGTACATATGTACATAGTAAGACTTATTAAGGGTGATGTTGGGTGGGGTCTAAAAGTGGCTGAAACCAATAAGATAATTAATTTAACTCGAATTATATCATTTAACTACAACGTTAATGAACAACGTTTCGATTTTGGACAATTTTTGGCACAAATGTCAAAATTCAAACGATTTTGCGTCAATATTTTTTTTTAAAATCGAGTTAAATTAATTTCCATGTATTAATAGATCCATGGTGGGGGTTGTAAAATGAGTAAATAATCATATTTTATAAGCCTGAGAATAAGTTTGTAAACTTGAGTTCCCCAGAAAATTTACACCCGCATTTTATTCGGAATTGATCGTTAAATTATAAACAATATGAAGAAAAGTTTCGTTTCACAATTAATAATTATGTTTCTAAAAATGTGTGTTGTCATTTGTAATCTAAAAAATGATGGATGAAAATTATATACAAGCCCGAAATAATTTCAATCTTCTTGCACTACAGAATAATTCTCGTGCGGAAGTGTTTCGAGAATAAAGTAAAATTTACGCTTTAATAAGTTTTAAATAGAATAGTTTATGTAATCAATATTTAGCGAGCATTCTCATTTTCATGCTTATTTGATAGTCGTTTTCATGCAGAATGCAATAATGAAATTTTAACCATCAACATAAATGATTAATTTTAATTGTTTATAATTTTGTGATTGAAGTTTGGAAATACCTGGAAATTTATAGTTACAATTGTCGTTTTGTGCTATAATCGTTCCATGAAAACGTACATTAACTTGTGTCAAGATATGAATATTTGGCGAAAAATATTTTTTGTGTTTTTAAACGCCGATTCAAAACTAAAGTGAAATATTACATTATTAAATGTCAGATTAGATGTAATTCAGGACTTTTTCTAAGGAAATTGTCAAATTGAAAATTAGGATGATATTCGCGAAAAAGTGACATTTTGACCATTTGACATTTAAAATGTCATTTTTCGCAAATGTCATCCTAATTTTTAATTAGGCAATTCCCTTATAGAAAAGGTCTAATCTCACTTGATAATATTATATTTCACTTTATTCCTGCCACGGCATTGAGCAATACAAAAAATACTTTTCTCCAAAGAATCATAACTTGACACAAGCTAATCAATGTTTTCATACTTCTTTTTATTTGACTCATACGAAATAAAAAATATCCATATTTCATTATTAATATCGGCATAGAATATGATACCAATTTTATACATCTCTGGAACCATATTTATTGAAAAGTGATGACAAATAGAAATCAATATTTAGCCGGCATTGTTTTCCTTCTCATTTGCATGTATATTATTGTGTATACGGTAATTGTTCTCACGCAGAATGCAGTAATGACATAAGATGGTAAAATCAGTGCAGAATGGCGAATGGTGTGAAGATGCATTTATTAAAATCAATTTAATGATATATCATTTATAATTAACTTTTGGTACATTCATATTTAAAATGCATCTTCATTAATACTATTCGTAAATTTATGCATTGACTTATCGAACTACATAAATATCTACATGCGTCAAAATAACTTCTTTTACGAAAGTGCAATCTGCAATATCTGGAAACTTGTTGGGTTAAAATGCATGTTTATTCGTTGCATGCAAACGTTGATTCACTTTGCCAGCTTGAGATTATTCGGTATAAAAGGTTTTTTGTGTACTTGAATGCCGATGCATGAATAATATGAAATATCATATTATTAAACAACGGATTAGATTTATTGAAACCTTCATTGATAAGTGAATTGTCTAATTAAAAATTAAACAATTTATCCATAAAATAACGTGAATAGTATTGAAGTACTTAACGTTTAATTAGATAACTCACTTATGATTGAAGGTTTCATCAAATCAAATCTAATCCTAACTTAATAATATGATATTTTAAATTATTCGTGCACCGGCATTCAACTACACAAAAAACCTGTTATACCGAATAATCATGAGACTTTGCATGACTCAATTTTTATGAAATGATATTTCTACTTTTTATGACTAGTTATAGTAATGATAGTTTAGTGTTTTTATTTAAATTGTTTATTATATGTGTCACTTGTGGAAGAGCATGGTTTGTGACTGTGAACTTGTTAGACACTCGAATAAAGTTTCAATCAATCAATGAATCAATCAATCAATGAGCTGGCAAAGTGAATTAACGTTTTCATGCAACTATTATCACATAAACATCAATTTTAAGTTACAATTTTTAACTGATAAATAAAATTTGGAAGTTCTGTTTCATAACAATATTTATTTGCCATTCGTTTTAGTTATTACATATTTGGTAATTATTCAATTTTGAAGGTTCTGACCGCGTCGATAAAAGTTTGAACGTTTTCGGTCGGTGTTTCGGGATATATTCCATGTCCCAGGTTGCAAATGTACTGATTTGTCCCGAAACCTTTAATCATATCGTCCACATTCAGTTTGATAGACTCCTAGGAAATAGCAACATTTGAATATTAGTCATTAATCCATACTCTAAATTCAAGTATAATAAATTGTAGACGACAATTTTACACCAACCTTTGATCCAAAAAGAGCGACAGGATCTAAATTTCCCTGTAGAACGGTGCTAGGAATGGTCAAAGATCTCGCAACTTTGGGGGTAACAGTCCAATCGACTCCTACCACGTCGTAGCCAAGTTTACTGATCTCGTGCAAAGCGTAGTGTCCCCCTTTAGCAAAGATGGTCTAGAAAGTTCCAAAACCACAATTTGTTCAATTCAAGATGAAACTTAAACCAAGATTTTTTAAAGGTTAATTCACCATTGGGATGTCGCTTATCCCACACGCGAGTAATTGTCTCTTCGTCTCGGACAAAATCCGGGCTAAAGTGCCCTTACAAAACCTGTCAAAGAGGTCAGGGCTGAGCAAATCGGCGTGCGATTCAAACACTTGCAGCATCTATTTTAAATAGAAAATTGAACTAGTGTTGTATTATTAAAAAACGTGCCCAGATAAACTTATCGGTGATAACCACTACTACAAACCTGTGCGCCAGCTTTGACCTGTTCGACGAGGTAAAGAACGACAACGCCAGTCAATTTGTCGAGGAGGTTTTTAGATTCTTCTGGGTATTTGTACAACCAGGCCTTTGATTTCGTCAACGTTCGACTTCCCGTCCCTTCGATCATGTAACTCATAAGGGTCCACTGTAAGGATTTAAGAATTACAATTTCATTACATGTCACTTTTGAAACTTTGAAGGCCGTGTGAACTTTGTTTTAAGGGTGATTAAAATGCTAGAAAATTATGAAAATATCCCTCTGTTCCTACTAACACTCCTCTGTTTTTAGTAACAAATTTTAGAAACACGGTTTACACATTTTTAGAAAGCTAAACAATTTTACATACCGGAGCCCCTACAAATCCGAGGAGAGGAACTTTCCCCTCGAGCTTTTTCCTCGTAAGAGTGATCGCTTGCAGAGTCCCTTTCATCTTTTCGGTCACGTCGAGTTTCCAATTCAGGTCCTCAATGTCGGCCGGACTTTTCAAGGGGGACGTGAAGGAGGGACCCTGCCCGACAAAATTTTGAAATTAAATTAAGTACATTGAACTTTGAGTAAGAATAATTTTATGAAATCTCCTGTACCGTTCCTGGCAGCATTTTCACTTCCATCCCAAGCGCGGCTGGAATGACGAGAATGTCCGAAAAAATAATGGCTGCGTCGAGGTCGTATCGTTGAATGGGTTGCAAAGTGACCTTACAGGCGAGCACAGGGTCGTGAACGATTTCAAAGAATTCGTGTTCTTTCCTGACTTCTTGAAACTCTAGACAATAAAATTGTCTGGATTATTGGTAAACCCAAGTCGCTGTAAATTTATGTTATTTAGCAATAACTACCTGGCAAATACCTTCCTGCCTGTCGCATAATCCAGATCGGAATACGATGAGGTTTTTTCCCCAGGGCTGCCTTGATTATCGCGTCGTTCAAGAGGGGAGGAAAATTCTAGGAATATAAAAAAGTGTAAATAGACTTAACTGAGACATTAATTACAGCAATTAAATGATGAAATGTATTTATTTAAAGGAAATAACGAAAGAATACATTGGATGAGTTATTCTAATTTTACGTTGATTTAGAATAACTCATCCAATGTATTCTTATATCACTAACTTATCGGTATAAAATATTTTTTGTGTAGTTGAATGCCGATGCATGAATAAAGTGATAAAAATTAAACAATTTATCCATAAAATAACGTAAAATTAGATAATTTACTTATCAATGAAAGTGCAACAAAATCTAATCCGTCATTTAATAATATGATATTTTAAGCTATTCATTCATCGGCATTCCACTACACAAAAAATATTTTATACCTAATAATCACGACTTGACAAAAGTTAATCAACATTTTCATGCAACGATTATTACATGAACCTAAATTTTAACCGATAAATAAAATTTGGAAGTTGTGTTTCATAAAAATATTTATTTGCCATTCGTTTTAGTTATTATATATTTGGTAATTATTGGAATAAATTGGACGAGTTATTCTAAATCAATTTGTAGCGTTCTTACATCACTAACTTATCTACCTCACATTATTAATCACGTTTGAGACTTACCTCCATCGTGCCGGCCATTTAAAATAGAACTAGCACTAGAGTTAATTTAACTATTCAAAGTGTATAACAAAACCGGAAAAATTATATTATAACCAACCACTTGTTGAGCAGAGTATGTAGCAGACTGAACATAAACGAATTATTACGAATCTGCTTGGCCCGCACGTATTTAGTTAAGTGTTTTTTTATTAGTTGTATTGCAACTACATTCTTAAATGGAATAAATCTCACAGTAAACTATCACAAGTTATGATTCATAAATACACGACGGCACAAACCTTCCTTTTCATGGGACACTTGTAGTAATTAATTCTCTCGATTTAATTGTCCATCATGTATTTATGTATGGTAGAAAAATAGGATATAACTCGTCACTACATGGAATCGGTTTTGTATTTCGGAAAAATCATAAAACTCTGTAAATAAATATTAACTTTAATAAACTTGAATTTTGACTTTCATTCATCACAATTTTGCATGTCATTCGGGAATTCGGATGTTCGGGTAATTTGATGGTGGAAATTCGCTGGGCAGTGTAAGACACCTTCACCTTCATCATCTGGCAAACAAATAGATCGTCATTCGTCATCCTTCTCTTGCTTGACGAATAAAATAAATTTTTCCTCTAAAAAATTCTAGTATTTAATTGACCTTCTGCTTTACCCGTGTCGTCGTCACCTGTGGCGATGGTACATTTGTAATGAGCACCGCGACCGTCTCACTTTGCGTCATTCTCATCGAAGTGACTGAAGAGAGTCAGTTACTCCCTTCTGTGCAGTATTTGGGTGAGGGAATAATGACCTTTGTGACCTAATGTAAATATTTAATAATTGAAATTTATTTGTGTTTGTATTAGCTCCAAAATATCGTGGAAATATGGCCGACAATGGTAGTGGCAAACCGAAGGAATTGCAATTCGCTGGTGGTGACAAGTCAAAGACGAGAGGACTTCGGAAACCGTACAATTTGACGGTGGAAACTTTTACCAGTACGGAAACTACTGCTACTACTACTACGGGTGATAAGAAAAGTGGTGGAGTGGATAACCCGAGTAAATCGTCAAGCAGTGGACAACCAAGTGGTTCGTTGTTTGATTTGTTATTTAATTAATTACATTAATTCGTAATTATATAATGAAGGATTAATTACTTTAGACGTGTCTGACTCAGAGGGTGCTGGAGAGACGAAGAAAGTTACGTTCTTATCGGGAAATCCGTTCGTTGAAGTGACGAAGGGTGTGCTTCACTTGTATAAGGAAAAGTAGGAACGATTTTTTTAATGTAAATGTGGTAATGAATTTTGACCTTATCTTAATTATTTGCAGTGAGCGGACCCCTATGGACAAATTGGATGTTGGGAGGAGTGAGATGCTCCTTATGCTCGCTGTCCCGGCGTCAACGTCATGTCGTGATTTGCTTCAGTTCGTCGCACCGTTTCAAGCGGACATTGAGCATATCAAGATAATTAGAGACTCTATTCCCAACCAGTACATGGTTCTTATCAAGTTGAAGAGTCAGGTAGAAAAAAACTTTATACGAGAAGCCACACATTTTATGCCATCCGTCTCTATATTGTAAATAAATTGCAAAATGAAACTTATTAATTTCAGAGACAAGCTGATACATTTTATCAAACTTTGAATGGAACCACTTTCAATTCCTTTGAAGAAGATTTATGCAATCTCGCATACGTTGCAAGGGTTGAGACTATGAAAGAGACTGAGAATGTAGGCCTTCCTTTGGTCGGTAGGTTGTCACAACTTGTGATTATACAATTATTTGAATATGCAACTATCTGACTGACTAATTTAAAGGTCACACTGAACTCCCCACCTGCCCCGTCTGTCTCGAGCGGATGGACGAGTCTGTCGACGGCGTTCTCACAATCTTGTGCAACCACTCGTTTCATTCCTTATGTCTTTCCAAGTGGAGTGATGCCAGGTACGAATTCAAACTATGACAAGCTTATCCTTAACAATTCTACAAAATACATTGAGAAAATGCGAGCTTAAAAATACCACTTTGGTTTTGATAAAGTCGATTATTTGTAACAAAACTATTGTAACAAATGATCCGATAATATTTTAAATGCAGTTTTATAATCTCTACGAATTTCCAGATGTCCCGTATGTCGATTTGTACAAACCCCAGAACTCGTCGTGGGGAATCAATGTTCCGAATGCAAGTCGTCCGAATCTTTGTGGATTTGTTTAATCTGTGGTCACATCGGATGTGGGCGATACGTACATGGGCACGCTTATAAGTAAGTTGCCGATAAGTTTTATGACGTCTTATCAAGCAGCTTGTAAATAAATCAGTCTTATAGTGATATTTCTGATAGCGGTTTCAAGTTTCCTAGTTTAGTAAAATTTTACAAATATCATTACTTTTACTTAGACATTTTTGCGAGACATCCCACTGTTACGCCATTCAGCCAGACAACAATCGCGTCTGGGACTACGTCGGAGACAACTTCGTACATCGCCTCCTACAAAATAAAGATGGGAAACTGGTAGAAGTGAGTGGTCGCGGCGCTCCTCGTCCTGAAGACGCCGGAAAGACAGAAACCGAGGACAAGTTGGACTCTATCCAGCTCGAGTTTACTTACATGCTCACCACCCAACTGGAGTCGCAGCGCTACTACTTTGAGGAAAAGTTGGCGTCCCAAGTACGTGAAATGAATCGGGACGTAGAAAAGTTACAAATTCGGCTCGAAGAGAATGACAAGTACAAGACGGAAACGGACATCCGACTGAAAGGGTTGACGAAGGAGAAGGTCAATTTGGAGAAAAAGGTGATATTATAGCAAAATTGCTAAAACGAATTTTTATTTTGTTGGTGAACCTTATGATATGAGTAAACAAACTACGACAAAATCGTGTAATTTGTGTGTTGATATCAATGCACAAAGTTCCTTGGGTTGAAACTGCGTCTTATATTTTTCTAGCAGTTTTACATGTTACAAAGATTAGCGTGAATTTCCTCATTATCTAATAAATAAGGATTCGAAAGAATGTGAAAATGACGCACTTTCCAAAACTTTACAAAAACAATAAAAGCATAATTCCCTATTAACTAAATATGTATGTCCATGTTAGTAAAACAATGCTTAATTATTTCCTCCACAGATTGCACAGCTAACTCAGAAGCTGACCAAAGCCACCACCGACTTGAATGATGAGAAGGAAGTTAACAAGCACATGAAGAAAGACCACGACAAATGGGTCGCCCTCGTCGCCAAGTTGGAGAAAGAACACGAGCAGTACGTGGCGGAGAAGACGGCCGAAATCGTAGATCTCAAAGAGTCTCTCAGAGACGTCATGTTCTTCATGGAAGCTGGCAAGTTAGTGGGTGGATCAGAATTGCGGGACGAAATTACAGAAGGTCAAGTCGTCGTGGGACCCTCAGCGGCGGACAACGCGGCCGCCGCATCCACCTCGAAGAAAGAGCAGCGACGGAAGAAGCGCTAAATCGCAACTCAAAATCAACTTCTTGTTCCATTCTATAGCTATGTATATCGATGATAAACTATTTTATAATCACTGTAAATCCTATTCGCATTCAAATTACTGTGCTAAAAAACTACATTGTCGATACGAGACCCGTGCTATCGTCACCACTAGATCATTACTAGATCAAGTCCGAGAAATGTTACATATGTGATTTTATAAAGTAATGATAATAAAAAATAATAGAGTGATCTGAAATTCGTATATGTCGCACATGGACTTTCTTTAAAATTTCCAATATAATGTTTCGCAACTAAAAATAAAAACAGTCCATTCACAATTAAAGTAGTTCCGTAGGCTTCCTAAAACATTGCACTGCACAACATTTGGAGTAATCTCACAAAAAAAGATAAGCAAATAAATAAGTGCAACGTACGAAGAATTAGTGAATATTAAAAACCGAAGTTAGAAAACTAGTTTAAATTAAACACGCTCTTGCATATTTTTTATCACAGCCGCATGTGCATCTTACAAATTAAGTCATGAATGCAAATGATCCAAAATAAAGTGAAGTGAGACATTATAAATAAATTACACGTCGTATTTAAGTATATAATTATTTCAACCGTGCGATACCACTTTATTCAAAGAAATGAATATTCATAATATTTTATAATTCCAAAGTTTCACCTTAACACAATAATTGTTTTACTGACGTTTCTGCATTCCATATCAGTATCATCATGTAGTATTTAGTAGGAAGAATTAAGAAATGACAAAGTTTATATGTGAGACAATGCATGAGTCGTGGAGTTTGATACTAACACACAAGTACAACTCCTATTTTAAAACAACTAAGCTTTTCCAACACACTCAGATTTAAAAATTAAAAAAAAACAGGCCCACAACCACCGACCTATTATTAACTAGCAGTTGTAAAATGCATGTATATTAAAACGGCAGACCACGAATCTACGTTCACTCACCACTCCACTTTTCTCTCAATAAATAAATACATGCACGATTAAAGTACAATGAAAGAAGCACCACAACTAGAAACACGACAACAATATATGACTACCACAATATTACCACTTTAAACTATACGTCAATACATACTTAATTTTACTAGATGCAATACATACAAAAAGAACATGGCAAAATCAAAATTAATCATTTTTCTATTATAAAAATTGTTTTCCATTTCGTTAAGTGTTAAAAACTGAGTCATACTTAAGTCTACTTAATTATTTATACAGAGGGAAGTCACGGGATGAGGGTCACCTTAAATTACTTAACGTTATATAAAGGTATAAAGGACAAATAGTTTATACATAGTTAAAATTACTTGCTTAAATAATTAACAGGAACTATATCACATCCGTTGTTGTTGTAGTTGTTGTTAAGTTTTGACATAGAAGAGAGTTTCGCATTACGAGAGAACGCAGATTGTAAACTAAAATTTGGTTGGAGATCATCTTCTTCGAGAGTCAAGAGTTGCCTTTGTTTATGTTGTCTCTTTCTTTTTGTGGGTACAACTACTAGTTGTCTACTATTAATTCGGGACGTTATGCTTCCTCTTCTTCATCTATTATTTCTTCCTTCTTAACGGGGTTTAGTTCCAGTTCGGCCGCATGCTTGAGTCTGGCCTTCAACTGAATGACACAATCCCCAGGAATGAGAATGCCGACAAATTTATTCCCATTGTTGAACTGGACACGGACGATTTGAATCTTATGGTTGTGGTGACTACTTCCCATTACGATTTCTACATCGTCCCAACATAACAGGACTGAACCGCTCAGAATAAAGTATGTGCGCTGCCGTTTCCCTATATCACACTCGAGGTTGGCCATTTTATTCTTACAGTTGCCCGACCTGCGCAAGAAGAAATAGTTTAGGTAACATTTTAACAGTACTCAATCCGAAGATATTCACCCCAGTTTTGTAATTTAGTAAACTATGTAAATTTTACGAGATGAGTAGACAACAAAATGCGATAATCAAACAAACGACAAAACGTGCAACAATATTCAAGAAATAGATTGATCGAAGCAGTGCATAATTGGCGTTATTTAATGTCAAAGCAAATATATAATTAAAAATTACCAGAATGCGTGAACGCAATTGATGCCAGAATCCGTATACTGATCCTCCCAAGCTTTCTTGGCTTTCTCTGGTGTCGTTTTATAATATTTGTTTTGAACTTCTTGCAAAGTTTCGCGTCTCAACTAGTAACAAAAAGTAGCAATTATACACATGTCGTCTAATTTTAATTTGTATCCATGTTATGATTCTACCTGGAGTCCAGTACTCGGCCGATAGACAGAGTATAGCCGAACTTTTTCTGCTTTTCGCTCTGATGCAGCTGTCGACGAGGCAGGGAAATCGTCCCCAATCACGAGGACGGCCAGTCTTTTGTTATTTTTCTCCTAAAACAAAACAATGACCCCAATTCATTATTAGTCTTCACACATAATGAATGCAAGTTGTGTTTAAAAAAATTACATCATTCGCCAAATAGAATCCATCATTCTTTCCGCTTAAACTTTCAGATTTTTGCAAGGCCTCTTCCCAGCTTACACCTCGCTCTACGACGACCCGATGCAACTCAATCTTTCCTGATCCAGTAGCGTGCTTACGGTTGAAGACCTCTGTCGATGAGAGGGACGTCTTGTCCCCGCTGGAATCGCCCAAATCTAGAAAGAATAAGTTAATATAAAATATATCCAAACATGATTCACTGATATTTATCAACTCACTTAAAATTCCCATATCAAACCGTCCTTGTTTCTTTGCATTGGCAACGATCGCAGATAGCGTATCCGTGAAGAACTTAAAAAGTGAATTTTGCAGAAGTACGTGCATCCCGAGAATTCTGTAAATATAAATTTTTTCACTAATGATTCCACCCATAAAGCGACCAAGTTAACTAATTAACCTACCGATTGAGAAACTTGCTCATATTGTGGTAATCCTTCTCCGGCATCGTTGTACCAAAACTGTCCTCGCTGTTAACGATTAGCCCAACACCTATCATCCCGGCGGCAACGTCGGAGCGGAAATCGCCTTCATAACTGCTTGGCGGAAGCACGGGGAGATTCATCATCGTCCCGGTCATAATGTAGCGCATGACTGCTTCCAAAGCCATCTTCCCGTACTTGTTATCAATGTGGAAACGGGACAGATCTCGCGTCTCGGTGGCACGGCGATCACCGTGAGTTAAAGCTCCCTGAATATAAATTTTGTTACAAAAACGGCTGGAAATTTCGTACAAAGTTTACAATTGTATAGCAATAGCTCGGAAGACTTACAAGACTTTCTAGTCGTTTTGCTACGATTGAGGCGAACCGATGTTCCCCGGCAAGGTCTGAGATCAAAAATACGTACTCGGGAGCATTGACTTGATTACTTCGATGAGTTCGGCCAAACTGTTGAATGGCTCGGTCCGCACTCCATGGTAATTCCAGCGTTATATGGACTCGGCGACGCTTGTTCTTTGCGCGCCGATCACTTTGGAGTGAAATACCACTCGAGGCTGCTTCCGAAATGATGGCGATGTTCTTCTCTCCATCCATGAAGCGGCGTTTTTCTAATCAGGTTTAAATTGATTAATGTCAAGCTAATTCTTGGTTGATTTACTTATTACTCACCCGTCAAGTTAATCTGATCCAGCGCAACGTCAGATTCAGCGCGACTCTGATACTCAATTTTTCCATTCTCCATTTGAATCAATCTCATCTTGCGACCGGTCATCTGTACACAAAAACAACAAATCATTTAGCAACGACATTGCTGACCAAATTAATTTTCCGCACCTCCGCCACATCCGTCGGACCACCCAGCTCATCGATTAAATGGTCCAATGTGTTATTTGGCATTTTGTTCCCTAATTTTTCAATCTTTTCCAATAGGTCGGTTCGAATACTGTAGGCCTGATTGAGAGCCTCTTTGCTGGGAACGTCATGCGCGACAGTTTGGTTCTTTGGAATTTTTTTCTTTCCCTTCAACTTCCTTTTTCTCCCCTTACCAGGTTTTCCGTCGTCATCGCTCTCCAAATCACTCGATACACTTTCAAATTCAGAATCGCTGGCTTTTGAGTCCGTAGAAACGTCAGAGTCATGACTCTCATTGTCTGACCCGGCCGCACTGAAGTCGGAGTCACCGTCGTCGTTAGACGAGGCGTCAGAGTCATTGAATCGAGCTCGTTTCGCTGCATTTTGAGCTGCTCGTCTCACTAAAATTTAATCAAAATAGTTAATACAAAGTTAAGTTCATAACTAAGTTTAGATTAAATTCCTACTTACTTGGCTTCCCTTTCGAAGAGGATGATCCAGGTTGAGGCTCTTCTTCGACTGCTGCTAGAGGAATTCCAAGGAGTTTTTGAATCTTTAGTCTGTCTGGGGCAGGTAAATGTTTCTCCACGAGATTTTGAAATACGCCTCTGTAAACAATATAAATACAATTTGAAATCCACCTTTCTTTAAAGTGTATGTAAAAGTTAACAATAATGATAAAAATCATACTTTGCGGTGGACACAAAATCATCCAATTCTCCTTCACGCTCAACTTGTTCTGCTGTACGTGCCTCTCCAGTGGATTGAAGTCCGATTACGACACACTTCCCGTCTTTAACAGCCTCCCTGTAAATCAATAACGAAAGTAAGTTATTTACTTCATCTGGTTCTACTTAAATAAAAATAAAAATAGAAGTTCAACCCACCTCGCAATATCAATAGCACGATCCACCTTTCCAGCAATACACAAATATTTAAAGAATCGTTGATGAGACGCCCAAAATTGGGCCCACATCGTCTTCCTAAATGCGTTATCTGCTTTCATGAGTTCGGCCGCTTCGATGAATCGATGCATAGATTCCACCCACTGTAAAAAAGAAATATAAAAGTAAAATTGGATGCAAATTTTATATAATTAACTAATCGAAAATATTAAATCTCGTACCAAATCCACAGACTCGTTGTACATGAGTTGAAAATCTTCTGATAGCGAGACTTCTTCAATGCGGAAAGCCACCCCTTTGAAACTCAGTTGACGAGCGATGTAAGCACCGCGAAGTTTCATGTCCATCGCGACGATTTCCATTGCTCCGATCCCTCTGACAAAGACAAATTATTTTGTTAATTAATAATGATTATACACACATTCTTTAATTATGTAACAGGAAAACTAGTGATGATTAAAATAATGTTGTTCACCTCTTTTCTACGGCGTTGATAAAATCACTGAACTTCATGAAGGGCGTTCCCTTTCCCCAAATACCTAGGCGGGTCATGTACGCCATATTTTTCGGTTCTGACGCTCCTGTTGCTGACGCGTAGATGATTCTCGCTTTGGGTAAGTCCTGTTGCAATTTTTGCACCGTCACCCCCGTCTTGGTAGGCTTCGCGTTTCCCACTGGGCACAGATTTTTTGCTCGGTGACATTCATCAAATACGATCTATTAATTAATTAATTATTAAATCTGTGTCTCTATGATTATTGTCAAACAGTGAATTTCGTTCTCTGATTTCATGTTCTTCGTATATGTACTTGTTTCAGTGTTAAACTAATTTTTTGCGTACCACGCCGTCAAAATCTTTGCCCAGCCAGTCAATGATCTGTTTCAGTCTCGCATTGAACTTTCCTCCAGAACTGGACTCTCCGATGAGGCCAGAGTATGTGGAGAATAGAACGCCATCGCGATACTCGTCTTGACGAATCTTTCCGTACTTGAGCCTATTTAGAGCAAAGACTTTGATATTGCCAGCCCCAATATCTTTCAAGTCACGGATCGAGTCCTCTTTTAGATCGGCAGAGACGGAGACCCACAACGCCTTCTTCCTCCCACATAGCCAGTTTTCGTGGATGATGCCCGCAATAGTACGACCTTTCCCCACACCGGCTCCGTCACCTGGAGAAACGCACAAAATTAGTTTTCATTCAGGCCAAAAATATTTGCAACAGTGGAACTTTGCAACTTTGGCAAAAAAGTTTACAAATAATTTGACTTAGGTTAACAAATGGAATAGAATTAACGAATCCATATGGGATGATAACCAGAGTACTCACCGATCAGATAACCAGCCCTTTCTCCTCCGTCGAGAAAATATTCATGCTGTTGACACGCATAGACGATAGCTTCCAATTGGAGAGCAGAGAGTTGCCCCCGGTTGATGCAGGATGAGGGGAGGCGAAGTTGGTAGTAGACCGATGGTGGTGCCACACTTGCTAACGAAGCCGTCTCCACGATCGGGTCGGGGTGAGGTTTCCCAATTTTTACTAATAATTAAAACCAATTAATTAACTACTCACAAAGTTGATTCTCTAAAAGGTCAATTTCGTTAAACTTACACTTTGCTGGAGTATAATCTGCATATGTTTCCGCCACACCAAGGGTTTCGTCCTCTTCGTGAACTTCCTCCTCTGGTTCCGGCTTTACCTGAAATTATAATGATTAAATAATATGCAAGTGAATTATTTTTAGTCATTTTACTTCTTAATATCACGCAGCTGTGTGAATATAAATTTAAAATATTTACTACCTTACTCGCTATACTATTATGCAAAACGTTACGTTTATTATAATACCACCCACATACCTTCATTTGGTTATTCCACAACTGATACCCTGGTATCTGCTGGTGTCTGGACGGGATCGAGTGTTGCTGCTGAGGGTGGAGTTGACCCATTCCCGACATCATGGAGGCAGCCGCACTATTTCCACCACCACCACCAGCTATGAAAAACCGATAACAAAGCATGAGATTTATTACCAAACAGTACATATTCACGCCACTATTGTTATAGCTGCACAAACTTTGTAAGATAAGTGCTTAAAAATTGCAAGTATCCATAGTTTGTCCATCCATCTCACAAAATTTACATAGTTCGCAAAAGTGGCGTGAAGAGTAATCATAAAAACACTTGAAAATCACATACCAAACATTCCATAAAATTGGAACAGCGGATTATTACTCAGCGATTGTAACGCTACACTATCCATTTTTGGGAATGAGCTGAGCAATTGACTCAAAGAGTTCAAACTATCCATTGGATTCGAATTGAAAGGATTTGAAAGGAAAAGTGACGGGTCAAATAGTGACGATGGGTTCATCCCTCCTGCTCCCCCCGTCCCCCCGGCCTGATTGTGTTGATGTATTTGAGACGCACTCGTGAAAGTGGACGGTGTTATAATCGTGTCCAAGGGGAGATTATATTTCGGATAACCCTTCGTGCCCTTTAGTATATTTGGAATATTGCCACCTTGATGGTGATGTTGATTATGATGATGATTCGATACCCTGCCACTCCCACCCCCGCCGCCACCACCAATCCCACTCAGCATCGACATAGTCGCCGAAGTACTCGCCCCTTTCCCCACAGAATTTGAGGAGGACGAAGACTCCGTGGCCATGGCCATGGAATGTTCTAGCGACGTCCCCCCGCCGGGGATTTCTATCTTGTCGGGATCCTCGTCGAAAGAATCGTCATCATCGGAATTATCGTCCCCACCACTCAAAACTATGGTGTCCGAGTTGTCAGAGTCGTCCATTCCGGCGTACGTTTTTAGTTTAGCAGACTATTCAAAAAAATGAACTTTAAGTAAATTAATAATTCATGAGAAAACATTAAAAATATATCCTTCTCTTACAGCCATCCTGGTCGGTCGTGCCATTGTTCTTTTTTAATTCTTGTTACAAAAGTCACTAAGTCACCTTATTTTTATATCTTTTATTACTTTTACACTTTTATTTATAAAACTTTTCTATAATTTCGAAATCAATCCAATCCAAACGAACACTCCCAATTTTTTTACACACACTACAAAACGTTCCTAAAACGACTTGAGCTATGTACTAATTATTGCATTAGAATTATCGAGTCGTGCTTTCGTCCTCGTAACGTAATCGAATTAATTATTAAACTGCACACGTAACCGGTCATCCATTCCTCCCAGAATAATATTGAGTCTCATAAATTCCCAACTTTTCAGAAATATCTCTTACCCTCCTCTCAAAATTATCAAAAAAAAGCCTTATCAAAAAAAAAATTTGACCAAACCAGCCTCCTTAATATTTGAGGAGGATATAAAATACACAGTGTGTGGGGTGAAATACAAAAATTCCGAGTCCCTCCACACTCCTGAAGAGAAGAAGAACCAACGTGGGTTTTTTATCCAACCAACTTTTGGGCCAACATGAGATGAAAAGTAGTGGAAAAGAAGGCCTACAAGTTTTACACTGGGCAAAAATCCAGTCTTTGCTTGGTAATAAGTGATGCGCCCAAGTGGGGTAGCCAACGAGGCAGCCCACGCTATCATTTTTATCCCCCTTTCCTCACCCAAGCTACGATTCCGGCCGAGCTGGGGGAGGCCGTCCAGGGATGTGGGGACGACTTGGGGAGGTCGTGGGGGTGGGTGTGGGAGCGAGGGTGGGGTGTGGGGTGAGGTCATGTGGGGTAATGTTCGGTATGGATGCTACATATGAGTGACTGGATAATATTCGTGGTATTGCAGAGGGGTTGAAAAATTATGGTGGTATCGTGAGTTTTTAAATTTTTTATGAACAGCGCGTTCCTCGGGTGGGGCGGAGTTGGTTGGTGGACAGAGTGGCGCAGTGGGTAGGCACCGAAATTCGGGGATTCTCAAGTAAACCCAGCAAGGGAATTTGCATGGGAATTTGCATGGGATGAATTTGTATGGGAGTTTGCATCGGACTTTGGACATTGAAAGTTGGTGGGATGACAAGATATGTGAAGGACGTTAAGATATTCAAATTGTATGCTTTATGAAAAAGGGTTTCAAAATTATATCTGTAATTTTTTTCTGGCTTTCCAACTGGAAGTAGTTTTCATGTAAAAGTTACAATATTTCATTTCTCGTATTTAAATTGAACGTTTTTTTTTCTCTGATAGCAAGTTACTCAGCTTCTTGAAGGAAATGTGTAGGAGATGATATGCATTGCATGCAATTTTCATGCAATTGCCAATTATATGCAAAATATGTATTTTCTTTGTATATAAGGGACATGTAAAAATTAAATGAGCATTATATGTATATTATTGAGTGCAAAGGGTGATGGATCTTGTTCTTATAGTTTAATTCATTATTATTATTTTTTACTTCAAGCGGCTTGAAAAGTATGCAAGTATTGTTTGACTCCATACTAATTATTTAACAACTCTAAAGTTTTTGATATAATTTGCATGCAATTTCGATACAATATTGTCCTTGGTATTATGCACAGGTGAGGTCCGTCTCTAACAATGGAGGAGGTGTCTCTTCTATTTTGACCAAATTAGTGTCAATGGATCACGAAGTTAATTGTTTTGGCATTTGCAATAGATACTATTTGCCAATTCTTTGGCGCAGATATTTGCACTCCAAGAGGAGAAAATGCGCAGTAAAATTGGAAAGTGTAAAAATTTGTCAACTTTAAGACACGTTTTCTCCTCCTTGGATGCAAATATCTGTTAACCTTGCGAATTGGTATATGTATACTGTCTTTTTAAAATTTCATATTAACTAAATTTGTGATTGAACAGGGGTAAGCAAGATACTTTGGTCATACATAAGATGCAAGATGTAAAATGAAGATGCTTTATCGGATATGATACAAGATAAAAAATACATCTTGTTCAAGTGCATAAGATACAAGATACTTTCCTAACAATTAAGTAGTGAAGATACAAGATATGTATCTTAAGATACTTTCATATTAGATAACATACTTTCTTTTTAGGCTGGCGTTCATGCTCATAATTTAAACGAAAAAATCTACTTAGTAAAAAATTTAAAATCATTCTGTAATCACCTTACAAATTTTGTTGCAGGCGTTCATATTTCGAAAATTTTCTAAATTTCGAAAAACTAGGCCCATACCTGACATACCTATATTTTTAAGAAGTTAATATTATTATTTTTCATTCCCTGCTTATTCAAATTAATACCTGTACATATGTCAGTAATATGTGTATATGTAATATGTATATGTAATATGTGTAATATCTATACATTCATTAAGCGTTAGTACATATCATGTAATATGTAACGTATGTCTATATGTACGAGCACGTATGAATATATGTACATATGTATTTATGTACCAAGTTTATTACTAACTGACAAAACATAAAGTAAAAATTAACCAAACGCAAGTTGGTCAAATTGACTGACAGTAGTAAGAAATTAACTTAATTTGTCGGAATTTTGGAAAAAAGTATCTTGTCAACTATCTTAAGATACTTTTCTGCCAGGCATATCTAGATAAGATACTTACTGTAAGTATTTTGTGTAAGTAACTTACAAAAAATATTATTCGATTGTCTAAAAGATACAAGATATTTCTATGATCAGGCGACGAAGATACAAGATAAAGATACTATCTTGTATCTTGACAATCTTATCCATCCTTGTGATTGAATGACATCAAATTGGTTAATAAAAATCTTAGAGCATACGCGACATTTCGTGTATGCAATGCAGTACGAATACATATTTAACATTATTTGCATTCGATGGCCACTGTTGACACACATCCATGGTTGACACTTATAATGGAAAATTCATTTTTTTTACCAAACTCGGCTCAATTTAATGCTAATGACTGACACTATTTTTGGAAAAGTCATTAGTCTATGCAATTAAAGACAACTTTGCAAAAATAAAATAAAATAAAATAAAATCATAATGAAGGGGTTCCAATTCTTGCTTAATTTCTATCTACACAATTACATAATTGGTGGTTGTGGTAGACACAAATTGATTCAAAAAGCTTAACCACCGATTTTTTTGCATGGCCTCAATATTAGTCTTTGTCTTTGTTCATTAAATTAATAAAAATAGTTACCCCGTGAGTGCGCCAAGGATTCACACTTCACGTGCGAGGTGTGACTTCTCACTTGTCCACCAGGCCAACTTCCAACTCCTTACAAATAAAATACCGGTGTGGACTTCTCTCAATTTCTGAGATGCAAATTTATCTTGTTCAAATTCAAGGTTGGTTATTATTTATTATTAGCACATTCCAAATTTTGCAATCAATCTGACCGTGTTTATTTCTTTGTTCGCAGGTTCATCAAGACCAATGTATTAAGCCCACATCGAAAGAAAATGGCAAGTTATTGGGTGTGCTAGTCTGTGGTCGTGGTCTACCTGTGACCTGGTTCATACATAGTGAGGGTGGGGTTGGTGAAAAACTGCTTTGAAATTGGATAAGTTTTTCCATAACTTGCTTATGAGACGGCCAGCCGAACAATGACGTCAAGAATTCCATTCCTTCCCGATCTCTTCGTCAGCGCCCCTTCAAAGGCTGGATTGTACAAGAAGGAAGTTGTCTTAGGCCAAGGTAAGACTTTCTAAATTCATTTTAAAAGCCTAATAATTTCAGCATTTTCTAATTTTCTTCCAGGTGCGTATGGAACAGTTTACAAGGCGAAAGACATAACTGACCCCACCCGTTACGTCGCTCTGAAAAAAGTTATAATTCCAGTTGGCGAAGAAGGAATTTCCTATCCTATCTTAAGGGAAATTGCCTTAGTTCGTCAACTGGATAGATTTAAGCATCCTAACGTTGTCCGGATTCTCGACGTTTGTCACGGACCTAGAGTTGATCAAAGTCTCACAATCTTTCTCGTTTTTGAGTTTGTTGAAAGGGATTTAGCGAAATATATTTGGGAAACGCAGCGAGATGAGTCGTGGCCTGCCAAAGTTAAGGTAAGGTTATATACGTACGTACATAGTTTGTCATCTGGTTTATTTCTTGGAGATGTGAGTGAGTGATTAAGTGTCTCAATTGTTTTTTGTAGGACATAATGTTTCAATTGTTATGCGGAGTGGATTTTCTCCATAGTCAGCGGATAGTCCACCGCGATTTAAAACCACAAAACATCCTAATTTCTGGTACTGGTGAAGTGAAGATAGCTGATTTTGGATTAGCCAAGGTTTACGATTTCACCATGAGGCTGACGAGTGTTGTAAGTTTTTTTAATGAATAAAACTTACTTAGTAAGTAAAACTTACTAAATAATACTCAAGCTTGCATGCTTGTGAACACTACTCGAGGATTTGTGATAATTGTCATGATTCATTTGTCTATTCATCAACAGGTAGTAACCCTTTGGTACAGAAGTCCAGAATTGTTGCTGGGCTGTACATATGCCACTCCTATTGACATGTGGTCCGTGGGTTGCATCTTCGCCGAACTGGTCGACAGACAGCCACTATTCCCAGGAGCAACAGAGAGAGATCAATTAGAAAGAATCTTCGAGTAAGTCTTGTCTTATCCAATAAAATATGAAACATCTGACTCGTTTTTCTCTCCCCCTCTTCCAAAAAATCGTAATTAACTTTTGATGGTACTACTTCGATATCATCGCAACAATCTCTTTGTTTCGGTTCGTGGGGTGTTGTCGTGTAATTGGATTCGTTGTGTGTAGTTGACAGCGGTATAATATTTTCTGCCAAATAATCCTGCTTTTTCTTCATCTGTGTCCTACCGTCTATACTATTTAACTTATAAAATTTCTATTTACAGAATTATTGGAACACCCAAACGGGAACAGTGGCCAGCCGAATCTCGAGTTCTCCCCACCAACTTCTCTCCGAGAATGGGACCATATCTTCAAGAAGTATTCCCTGCACTTGATGAGCAAGCAATCTCCTTGCTGGAAAAGACGCTTAAGTTCAATCCACTTGAACGAATCAATGCTCGTGATGCCCTGTTGCATCCTTATTTCGATGGACGAGCAATACCTCCAGTACATCTTAGCGTTCCGCCAGCAAGCGCCATGCTTCCAGTTGGGTCACCAAGTCATTCAGGATCATCAGAACTTTATACTTTAACTCCCTTGACATCAGTGTCCTTTAATCCATCCATCTCCTCCGACGATTCTGGATATGGTTCCCTGGTTTCCCAATTACATGATATCGTACCAGATATCGTAGACTTATCGTAGACCTATCTTGATATCGTAGACTTCGTACCAAATTTGGTACTAATTCTTCGAAATAACATCATTACAGTCTAATATATTCCGTAAGATTTAAGTGTGATGACTGACTAAGCGACAGTGAATTATAAAGACGAGCTTTGATTTAACCACAAATCAATCCAAATATATTTTTAGCCGTTTTAAAACCACTAGAACAATTCAATTTCTACTGCATGCATAGTAGAATAATAGAATTTTTTGGTTTTAGAAATGACCCTGATAGATATGTGACCAATTACCTGACGTGAATGTTTATAATTTATCGAAGAAAATGTATTAAGTTTTTATCTGTGTAGAATATCGAGGGTATAGACACGTTCGAAAGTTTAGTGGATTTTGTATGACAACATGATAAACACGGTGCATGTCATCATCATTATCACGACAAACTGAGATTAGTGTTACTCTAGTCCCTCTCGAACTTCACATATAATTAATTACTAATATTTAATATTCTCATCATATTATGACTACCCCTCTCATTGCCACAAATGTCCCTGGTATTAAGTTATCATTTAAGTATTACAACTTGTTTGTTTTTTTATAAGAAGAGAAAATAGTCTGACGCTTGAAAATGAAGTGCTATATTGTGGCTTTCATAACTAGGTACGCTTAATGAACTTAATGGTATTATACATTTAAGAATCTTTTGTGACTTTATTTAAATATGTTAAGCATTATTTGACTAAATATTATGACCAGAAGTACTGTGAAATAGACATGATATTACTATCTTTAAAGTAGTTAAAACAAATTTCCCAGATTTGGTATGCATGAAATGTTTTATATTTACTCTGTATATTCATTACTATTTGAATGATGGGCATTATTATGACATATCTTTTATATTGTATAATGCCGTTCTTTTTTATTTCATATAGTTTAACTATAGATTTTGTTTATTTCATAAAATATTGTCAGGTTTGAATGTATTTAATTAACTATTCCATTTAGGAGTGACATATTTTTACAAAATTATTACGTAATTAAGGCTTTGCTGCTTATTACTGTTTTTTAATAAAAGAACGTCGAGTAACGTCTTGTAGTCGTGAATTCCAGTTAAACTTTCACCCTTTATTTAATCCATTGGATCCATTACTTCTTAATTATTTCTACGCGTTAACATTGGTTCCACATATGAAGTAGCATTTTGTATCTACATCACTACATATTATAAAAACTGTTTAGTGGCCATATTTTTAAGCATAAACTCTCCTCCGCTACTAATGGGTTCAATGGCAATGACCAGGACTGCCACTATTTTTGGAAATCTCATTAGTCCTCAATATTACAAAACACTTCACAATTCTCGATTCGACAACCCCACTTTCAGTTCTTCGGATCATTTTGGTCAAATAGCATCGACAAAATGTGGCTTAATTTTTATCTCAAAAGTTTTCATGTATCATTCTTCCTGGCACTCGTGTTCACGCAAACGGTAGCTGATTCTAGTTCTGAAGAAGAATTCAGTTTCAGCTCTGCATGGGAAACTTTTTGGTCCGTTTCTTGTGAATTTTCCGATCTAGTCGTGAGGAGCAAGAGATCTGTGCATCTGGACGAACCAGACTTTGGCGACCCCCTCGAACTGTTCAACTATTTGTATCCTCTCGCGGATGTCAAGTTGGAGGAGGTCACGGCCAGCGAGGAACGGTCAGCCCACTCTTTGACCACGTGGGTGGAGGACCTCGTCGACTTGTGGGAGGCTGAGTGCCATTCTCGCAGTCGGAATGGACGGGAAAAACGAGACGCTCCCAACCCCATAAATCGGAAGAAAGGTAAAAAGACCTGTCAAATTTATGTCCCTAAATTCCATGCAATGCAGCATAGTTGTGATGGTATTACATACGAAATAACAGACGAGATGTCCAGTCCATACCGTTCAGTGGACGATGATCACGAAGAGGATGACGACGGCTACACGTATGAAAATGCTGGTGACGCCAACGCCACGTCGACAACGACCGCGCCCCCCGCAGCAGCAGGAAAGAAGGAGAAGAAAGTGATTGCCGACGCCGACACGTTTTTCACGCAGTACGGCGGAGACATCGAATACTTCTTCCCCTTAATCGCATTCGGAATCCCGTTCGATGGAGAAATCACGTTTCTAGGATTTCACGGGTTCAAAGGACTGTTCCCGTACAAATAATTCTCCAATTTCATAGTAACACCTGACTGCAATAAGCGTAATTATACGCTTTATGTTCTTTGTGCTCGGATTCAAGCTTTTTAACAAATTGCTTCAAAAGTATTAAACTAAATAAACTACTGTACACCTGAAAATCGTTTCCATAAACTAAAAAAATTATTTGTAACATTTTCATCGAAAGCATTTATTTATTTTATAAAATATTCTGGATCAAATTGGACAATATGAAAGATGCAATTGCATTTCTGTTTATTTCAATGTCTACAAAATTAACTTGTTTGTGGATTTACTACTTATGTGCAATTCCAACTGGCCAATTAATATCTTATATTTGGCATAATAAAAAATTGGAAACCAATTTAAAAATTTCATGTTAAAAAAATATTTCCCATTCGTAATACATCAAAACCCCAACACATAAAAGTGTTGGTTACTATTTAAATATGCAATGCTGACTTTTGGATGCAAAATGTTCTTGTGCTTCAACGCCTAATCACGAATTATGTGAAATTTTATATTATTAAATACGGAATTAGATTTGTACCTTCGTTGATAGTAAACTAATCTAATTAAAAATTAAGTAGTTCAATAATATTAACGTTATTTTACGGATAAATTGTTATAATTGTTAATATTTTTTGAAACTATTTCTTCAATTTATATTCTAAAGAGTAAATGGTTCTTCAATTAATCGCACTCTAAAATTTATCTGAATTTTGTAATTTTCCAAAGTAAATATTGCATTTTTATGAAAAATAATTTTAGTGCATATATTTAGATATAGTTTAAAAAATGCGTATCTTTAAAAGCAACAAATGAAACTAAACCTAAATAAAATACTGTGCACTTGACTGTAGGTTCCATAAGTTTAAAAAGATCTTTTATTTGTAACGTTCAATTAAAATTGAACGTAAAATAATTTGGATCAAATTGGACGATAGGAATGAAGCATTTCGATCTATTTAAATATGTGCATAATCTATTTTTGTGTGGATTTATTATGTGTTAATACAATAATTTATTATTTTGTGCGAGTTCAAATGGTCATATTCAATTGGATTTTAATCAAGTGGGATCATAATGAAATCAACTAAGAATTCGAATGCGCGACAGTCTTCCTCTGGAAAGTTTGGATATGTGACTTGTCTTTGATAATTGTACGTTTTTCTTATCCGTCCAGTATATGATGGTGATATGCATACCAGTGTATTTTCATAAAGAAAATATTGGAGAAATATCGGAGAAAAAAATGCATAGCTATCGACGTGTCATATAATGAATGACACGACTCTGATTAAATTTGTAATCTTCGACTACATTATAAAAAAATTATAAATTGTAACACTATAAATGGTATTTTTTAATTGTGTACACACAAGTTTGCATAAAAAAATGACAAAGTACAATTCTATCAGCAAAATCTTAATTTTTGTCCGCATCGTTATATTTTCTAATAAACTTAAAATTACGCAATTTCACTCAATAAAAATGTAATTTACTGTAATCTATGAAAGATTATATTCATTAATCCCATGTTCTTCGTCATCTAAATTTGGAGTATATTTTACTAAATTCCGAAATTTTACATTTTCGAGATTTGAGTTGTGCAGAATAAGAATTATTTTTTTATGCTGGTTTGCATCCCACTGCGGAAAATAACTTTTAAACCGATTACAGTATTTTGTGTGACGACATGGTAAACATGGTGCATGTCATCATCATTATCACGACATCCAGAGATTAGTGCTATTCTAGTCCCTCTCAAACTTTACATATAATTAATTAGTAATATTCCCAACTTCTCATCCTATTCTGACCACCCCTCTCACTGCCACAAAATGTCGGTGATATTAATTTTATGTAATATTAATTTAATTTTAATTTTAAGTTACCATTTAAGTATTGCAACTTGTTTCTTTCTTTTGTTTTAATGAAATGTCATGTCGAGGTGTGGCTTTTATTATAGGTACGCTTGTTAACGAACTAAATGATATTATATATTTCAGAATCTTTTGTGACTTGATTTAATTATGTTAAGCATTATTTGACTAAATATTATGACCAAAAGTATTTCCATATCGGACTGAATCTGGAAAAGTTGTTAATTGACACCATTCTACAAACTTAAATATATAATTCTAGCTCTACGTGCATAATTTATATGCTGCTCAGGGTCAAGGCTGAGGTTAAATCGGGTCCACAAAACCAAAATGAACATAATTATTTTTGAACTGGGAAAAATTTCAAGCGTAGTTCGAAATTAATTCAGATATAATATAATTCAGACCTCGATTTCCGACATCAAATCCATACATCGTCTTAAAATTAATTTGCTAACCAATTAATGCAATATATTTAACATAATTGCAAATTTTAAACAAATTTAAACCTTTCACTCACACTTATATACAGATATTTATTTCCAATTCGTTTCTGTTTTCATAATTTCAATTAAAGTTGCATGTATTTATTGTATTTTATTGCATGAAATTATTGTTTAAATTAAATTGGAAAATCGTTTGGAAAATTTACAATCATATTTCGAAAACTAAAATGATTTTGTATAGAATTAACAGTTTCAGTTATTAAATTGATTGCACTCTAATTTTTTTCCGGGTTTTGTTGTGTGCGAAGTCAATATTAGAATTTATAGAAAAACCATTATTTTACAAATATGTTTAGATAAGCTAGAGATCGGAAATAAATTTAACAAAATGCAAATAAATCAATAATGTATTTTTGTTAAATTTATATTGTATTGATTTTCCGAAACTAATTTGTACATGGAAATGTTTTTAGGATTTCACGGGTTCAAAGGATTGTTCCCTTACAAATAATACATTATAATAATAATTTCATAATAATTTCATTGTGACACCTATTATTGCAATCAATTTAGTTATGCAGTTCATGTTATTTGTGCTCAAATGCATGCTTTTTATCAAAAAATACGCATCCTTAACAGCAACAAATGAAACCTAAATAACATACTGTACGACTTGCTCTATAAACTTGTTCAGAATTCTAAAATAAATTCTCGGAGCCGAAAAATAATTAAAAAGGTGCTGAATTTGGCGAGGACTTATCGAGTCCTACGTTAACCAACGTGCATCAATTTTTATTGGTAATTTAGTGAGCTCGTTGTGACTGCACACAATATTTTTGAGAAGAATTTATGCGTGTGAATATGAATATTTACTTCACTCCGTGGCGTCACATTACGCCATATTTTTTACCTTGCATTCCGTTTTCAGTCATCGCATAGGAATTAAATCTTTGCAAAATATTGATTTATTTATTGCGACGGTCAGATCAAGAGAACTCAATAACTTGTCAAATTTTTAGGAGACCTTGCCTAACAAATATATCACTTTGTTATGTTAAAATTTGCCATACTGTCATATTTTAACTGATGCAAATAATTTGTAATGTCGTGCATTGTTCTCATTTATTCGAGTAAAATGTGAAATAATTATGAGGCCGAATAATCAGCGATTTCATAACTTTTCTCGGTTTTGAAGATTTGTAAGATATTGACTCCGCACTGGTTTTTATAACGTTTTACATTAACTTCGCATTAAATAGATTGGTTAGCTCGGTCATAGAAATTAATTTACAACATTTCGAAATTGACAAATTAAAATGCAATTATTTCGCAAATTCTACAAATTGGAAAACAGAATTCGAGTCATTGGCTAAATTCTAGTCTAAAATACATTTATAAATTATTTCCAGTCACATTAAACTTAATTTGGACGAGTCGCTACATTTTCTAATAAACTTAAAATTAGGCAATTTCCCTCAATAAAAATGTAATTTACTGTAATCTATGAAAGATTATATTCATTTACCCAATGTTCTTCATTATCTAAATTTGGAGTATATTTTACTAAATTCCAAAATTTTACATTTTCGAGATTTGAGTTGTGCAAAATAAGAATTATTTTTTTATGCTGGTTTGCATCCCACTGCGGAAAATAACTTTTAAACCGATTACAGTATTTTGTATGACAACATGGTAAACACGGTGCATGTCATCATCATTATCACGACAACTTGAGATTAGTGTTGTTCTAGTCCCTCTCAAACTTTACACATAATTAATTACTATATAATATTCTCAATTTCTCATCCTATTATGACCACTCCTCTCACTGCCACAAAATGTCACTGGTATTAATTTTATGTAATATTAATGTAATATTAAGTTACCATTGAAGTATTGCAACGTGTATGTTTCTTTTGTAAGAAGTTGGTTCAAGAGAGAAAGTCTGACGCTTGTAAGTGAAATGCTGGGTCGCATTGTGGCTTTTATAACTACGTACGCTTGTTAACTAACTCAATGGTATTATACATTTAAGGATCTTTTGTAAGTTAGTTTAACTATGTTAAGCATTATTTGACTAAATATTATGACCAGAAGTATAAATACATATGATATCTGTGAACTATTTAAGGCATATTTCCAAGATTTCGTATGCATGTAATGTTTTATATTTATTCTGTATGTTCATCACTATTTGAATGATGGGCATTATTATGACATTCTTTATATTGTATAATGCAGTTCTTTTTTATTTCATATAGTTTACACTAGATTTTGTTTACTTCATAAAAAATTGTCTGTTTTGAATGTCTCTAATTAATTATTCCATTTAGGAGTGACACATTTTTTATAAAAGTATTACGTGATTAAGATTTTGCTGCTTATTACTGTTTTTTAATAAAGAACGTCGAATAACTTCTTGTACAGTCAAGAGCAAAACTTTACGACATATGGAAGAGACTTTTGGGACATGTTATTCAAATGGGGAATTAAAGGCCGTAAAGTTTTGCACCGCGTACCTTTCCGAATAATTTTTTTAACGCTGTGATATAATTTTTATTGAATAAAGCGTGCAAAAGTAGGGGGTGACGTGGTAAATTATTTTTGTCGCCGAATTTTTTTCAAGGAACTACAAGGAATTGAAAGAATTAATTTTGGAAGAGACTTTTGGGACAACACATTGTGCTTATGGCTGTC